CTCAATTATCCTGTGTTCTGACGTTGATCAACAGGTTCGCGATTTCACTCGAATCGTCCGAGAAGGAATGGATCAATTCATCCCGCTTCGTAAAACATCAGGCTCAAAGTTTCCCTTCTGGTTCTCGCACGAATTACGTACTTTAATGAATAAGAAATTGCGCGCTCATCGAAAGTTTAAAAAGAACGATACCCCCGAATTAAAATCAGAATTTGGGCACTTTAGGTCTCTCTGCAAGGAAGTTTTTAAACGTGATCGTCAGGCGTACACTGATTCCGTCGAGTTGCAGCTAACTAAAAATCCCAAAGAATTCTGGAAGTATGTTCGCTCTCGGTCCCAGAAAAAAGGTAGAGGAGAGATCACCCTGCTGGACTCACAGGGAAACTCGACGACAGATGTTTGTGAAATTTTTGCACGCCACTTCCAGTCTGTTTTTAAGCATCATCCAATCCCTTCAACTACTGCCGCGCCAGCTGTCTCTGGGAATGCATCCTGTATTGCACTCTTTGACGAGGAGCTACTGCATGAGTGTGTAAAAAAATGAAACCATCATTGTCTTCTGGCCATGATGGTATTCCGTCAGTCCTCTTGAAGGCATACAGTGCCATATTTATTCCTGTTCTAGTACAGATTTTTAACAACTGCCTAAAGAATGAGGTCTTTCCCGCCATGTGGAAAACGGCACTTGTTGTGCCTGTGCATAAGTCCGGTCCAAAAACAAATGTGTCGAATTACAGACCTATATCTCTTCTTTGCACATTTTCGAAGCTCCTCGAAGTGGCACTACACAAAATATTGTCATTCAATCTCAAGCGTTATCTTATCCCTAACCAACATGGATTTATGGCGGGTCGCTCGACCACAACTAATCTCGCCTGTTTTATGTCAACCGCTGCTCACGCCGTCGCTAACAGAGGCCAGCTTGATGTGATTTACTTTGACTTGAGTAAAGCGTTTGACATTGTTAATCATGAAATGTTACTGGCTAAACTGTCAAAGCTAGATATTCACAACTCATTGCTTTCATTGCTCGAAAGTTATTTGCGTGACCGGAAGTGCTTTGTTAGCTCGAATAATAATTTTTCTGCTACTTATGAGGCGACAACGGGTGTGCCTCAGGGCTCCGTTCTCGGACCTCTTCTGTTTTCAGTTTTTGTTAATGATGTTTCGACTGTGATTCGTCACTCTTCATTTCTTCAGTACGCAGATGATATTAAGATGTTTATGGAGGTACGAGAAGACCGAGACTGTGTTTTGCTACAGAGAGATGTTGATGCTTTTGAAGAATGGTGCCGGGGGAATGACCTAAAGATAAATAGCTCTAAAACGAAAGTCGTGTCGTACACTCGTAAGACACATAACATTGTATTCCCATATGTTATTCAGACAGACCTTTTGGAACGTATGAACAGAATCAAAGATCTTGGCGTAGTGTTTGACAGCACCTTAATCTTCTCTAGTCATGTGGATCACATCGTGAACGCAGCTCTACGCACGCTCGGTAGTGCGTGCCGCATCACTAAAGAGTTTATTAACCCCTGCACATTTCTTATACTCTACAGTGCATTGTGTCGACCACAGCTTGAATACGCTTCTGTTGTATGGAATGGAATTTGTGCCATAAATTCCTCGAAAATAGAACGGGTTCAGAACAAGTTTCTTTCCATCTATAGACATCGTTGCTCAGCGCGCATTGTACCCACCACTACTGATGTCCCTGTCCCTGTTCAGCGTAGCGTGGCACTACCTACCCTGTTTCGTAGGAGAGAACTTGCCGATATCTTATTTTTATACAAACTTGTCCACGCCGTCACTGATTGCACGGTATTGACGTCAAGAGTACTCTTAAAAATTCCTCTAAAAACAACAAGGCAAAATGCGTTCTTCTGCAACAGGCGTCTACTCAACCTCCACGATCCTGTGTCCAGACTTGGGCATACTTATAATTCTTCTTTTTCTGAAACACTCGACATATTTAACAATAACACGCTGCAGTTTGTAAAAACGTTAAAGGCCATCACTTAAATTAGAACTGTATGCACTAACTTGCGGCGTTCACGCCGAAATTCCCCACTTTGAATGCATTTTTTTTTTCTTTCTTTCTAGCAATTGGTGTTGGCGGTAGTACCCTTAAGCTTATCGTATGTTGTGACTTTGTGTTTACTTTTTATAATTTTTAAGTGTATTTTTCTAGGGCTTGTCCGTTGTTTGTGTTGTCCGTACTATTGCTTTATACCCTGTTCTGCCTTACATGTTAACACAGTGCACCTGTACCAAGACCGCAAGGTTGTTCCCGGGCACGAATAAAAACATTGATTGATTGATTGATTGATTGATTATTATTATTATTATTATTATTATTATTATTATTATTATTATTATTATTATTATTATTATTATTATTATTATTATTATTATTATTATTTCGGGGCTACTGCATGGGTGTGCTACTGCTACTGCATGAGTGTGTAAAAAAAATGAAACCATCATTGTCTTCTGGCCATGATGGTATTCCGTCAGTCCTCTTGAAGGCATACAGTGCCATATTTATTCCTGTTCTAGTACAGATTTTTAACAACTGCATAAAGAATAAGGTCTTTCCCGCCATGTGGAAAACGGCACTTGTTGTACCTGTGCATAAGTCCGGTCCAAAAACAAATGTGTCGAACTACAGACCTATATCTCTTCTTTGCACATTTTCGAAGCTCCTCGAAGTGGCACTACACAAAATATTGTCATTCAATCTCAAGCGTTATCTTATCCCTAACCAACATGGATTTATGGCGGGTCGCTCGACCACAACTAATCTCGCCTGTTTTATGTCAACCGCTGCTCACGCCGTCGCTAACAGAGGCCAGCTTGATGTGATTTACTTTGACTTGAGTAAAGCGTTTGACATTGTTAATCATGAGATGTTACTGGCTAAACTGTCAAAGCTAGATATTCACAACTCATTGCTTTCATTGCTCGAAAGTTATTTGCGTGACCGGAAGTGCTTTGTTAGCTCGAATAATAATTTTTCTGCTACTTATGAGGCGACAACGGGTGTGCCTCAGGGCTCCGTTCTCGGACCTCTTCTGTTTTCAGTTTTTGTTAATGATGTTTCGACTGTGATTCGTCACTCCTCATTTCTTCAGTACGCAGATGATATTAAGATGTTCATGGAGGTACGAGAAGACCGAGACTGTGTTTTGCTACAGAGAGATGTTGATGCTTTTGAAGAATGGTGCCGGGAGAATGACCTGAAGATAAATAGCTCTAAAACGAAAGTCGTGTCGTACACTCGTAAGACACATAACATTGTATTCCCATATGTTATTCAGACAGACCTTTTGGAACGTATGAACAGAATCAAAGATCTTGGCGTGATGTTTGACAGCACCTTACACTTCTCCAGTCATGTGGATCACATCGTGAACGCAGCTCTACGCACGCTCGGGAGTGCGTGCCGCATCACTAAAGAGTTTATTAACCCCTGCACATTTCTTATACTCTACAGTGCATTGTGTCGACCACAGCTTGAATACGCTTCTGTTGTATGGAATGGAATTTGTGCCACAAATTCCTCGAAAATAGAACGGGTTCAGAACAAGTTTCTTTCCATCTATAGACATCGTTGCTCAGCGCCCATTGTGCCCACCACTACTGATGTCCCTGTCCCTGTTCAGCGTAGCGTGGCACTACCTACCCTGCTTCGTAGGAGAGAACTTGCCGATATCTTATTTTTATACAAACTTGTCCACGCCATCACTGATTGCACGGTATTGACGTCAAGAGTACTCTTAAAAATTCCTCTAAAAACAACAAGGCAAAATGCGTCCTTCTGCAACAGGCGTCTACTCAACCTCCACGATCCTGTGTCCAGACTTGGGCATACTTATAATTCTTCTTTTTCTGAAACACTCGACATATTTAACAATAACACGCTGCAGTTTGTAAAAACGTTAAAGGCCATCACTTAAATTTGAACTGTATGCACTAACTTGCGGCGTTTACGCCGAAATTCCCCACTTTGAATGCATTTTTTTTTCTTTCTATGGTGGCGGTAGTACCAGTAAGCTTATCGTGTGTTGTGACTTTGTGTTTACTTTTTATAATTTTTAAGTGTATTTTTCTAGGGCTTGTCCGTTGTGTGTGTTGTCCGTACTATTGCTTTATGCCCTGTTCTGCCTTACATGTTAACACAGTGCACCTGTACCAAGACCGCAAGGTTGTTCCTGGGCACGAATAAAAACATTGATTGATTGATTGATTGATTGATTGATTGATTGATTATTATTATTATTATTATTATTATTATTATTATTATTATTATTATTATTATTATTATTATTATTATTATTATTATTATTATATATTTTTATGTTTATCCATTATTTTGATCCAAAACCTGCCACTCTCGCCGGCAAGTTTGCATTCAAATAAAAATCAATGGTCCCTCCGGACCAGCTCCGCTAATAGCTCAGTGGCTACGATATCCGACTGCCACCTCACCGACCTGGGTTCGATCCCTGTCTAGGCTTGAACTTTTTTTAATTACCTTTCTATAAAATGTTATCGTCGGTAACGCTCCCGGCATGTCACTCGTTGGGGACGCTCGCTACGACGGTCTTTATGACGCTCGTTCACGACGACTTTTTCGTAGGAAATGCGCCTTAAAACATATTCTGCGTTAAAAATTAATGTCTCGTTGCCACGACACCCGGGAGTGCGTGCTTTCCACTCGGCGCGTCTACTGGTAACTGTACGTACGCTTACTCAAACACCAGAGATCTCTCCCACGCATTCATAAAACATTTCTTGCCACGATTACTAGGAATCGGTGGCAAGGCTGCTTCTGGGAGTAGCTCAAGTGTACCCAGAAAACAGATTTAAAGACAAGCGTGTCTTCCGTAGAGAGGCATAGAGAAGCGCGACGGGCTACCAGTGGCCGCTTGTCGAAGAATCGCCCGAGGCGAGGGCGTGATCCGGCAACGTGCGCGTCATTGCCCGCAGCGAGCCAGGACGTGCGCATCTGCTCGGACGAGGTGTTCACGGGGTTCCTGCTGTCGGCCCAGCAGGAGACCCAAGGAGTGTCACCCCAGCAGGTGGACCTGGACGTCTTCCTCATGAGCTGGCAGAAGGTGACCGTCCGCGTCTGCTCCACGGACCCCACTCGGCTCGTCACGGAGGTGAGGGCCTCTCCCGACGGGCCCTGTTTGGGAGCCCAGTCTAGGCCACCGTAGATTGACGGAACGTTAGCACCCGCTAGTGCCACTTCCACGCAGCTTCATACCCTGGGAATGTGTTTATTATTTGATTAAAAACAAAAATTAGAAATTGAGAGTTAAAACTAGAAATTGTTGTGGCCAAGGCCCCGTATCAGTAGCATGGCCATTCAGCAGAATGTTTTTGTGCAAGCACCGCTCCTACGGGGGGGGGGGGGGGGGGGGGGGGGGCGGCGGGGGCGGGGGGCGGGGGGCGGGGGCGGGGCGGGCGGCACTTTGGATTCTTTTCCGACCACTGCCGCCGTTGTTCAGAATGCTGTGGTGCTTGCCGGCATTCTCGACAACGGTGTAGAATGTGCGAACTCCCACTTGGGCGTCAGTCTTCTCGATGCTCCGGCGGACTTGATCCGAAATAATGCGAGTATAAGACCATTGTCCAAAAACAGTCCGGGGAAAGTCGGAGTTAGATGTCAAGGTGGCAGAAAGAGTGAAACGGCGTTGCTGCGGTACGATGCTAGGCAACAGGCTGGGCGTCCAGGGTCGTCCTCACGGTGGGCGGCAGTGCCTTTGCCGCCCACTGCTCTGACTGACTGCCCACCGCTTGATTATGCCCGAGGACGATGATGTGATTTTGAAGGGCGCGTGGCTGGAGGCAGTTGTGCTCGGCAGGCCTGCACTCCGCCACCGTATCGCGTGTTCTCGCATCGCCCACCGCCGCCACTCTCAAACGAGGAGGGCAGAGAGCACCGCTGGCAGTGAGGGGCGTGCTCGGCCGACAAGAAGCACCAAATAAACAGACGCAACAAATGCCACCGCGCAGCAGTTCTCTCCGCAGGCGGTGAGGGGCAGGGAGCAGAGAGCTGAGAGGACTTTTCTTTCACTGCTCCATCTATCTTTTGTGCACTTTAAGGGGGAACGCTGGTCTTGGGGCTTTCTTCCTTATTTTTTGGTCAAGCGCAATGAAACAGCACAAGCTTGTTCAGAGTTTTGAGCTGCTTCCAAATATCTGTTATTTTTTTTTAAATTAGTAGGTGACTTCTCAGGATAACTATAATTAACCAGACTTTGTTTCCAAAAACAATAGAAAAAAATTATTTTTTTAAAAAAGAATGCTTTATTGTATGATCATATACTATAAATTATGAAGAATGCAATGTTGGAAGCTTTTTCAGATTGAACCATTATTAATGACTTTAGAACACAGTGAAGTTCAGTGCTCAGTGTGTGACAATAGAACGTTATTTTGGTTCAAAATTTTCCTACTCCTATATCAAAAATACTGCCTCCAACATTGCATGTTTTGCACATTTAGCTACATGGTGCTAACAAAGTTTTCTTTCTGTCTGTCCTAGATGCTCAGATACCCCCCCGAAAATTTGTAAGGAGTCCAAAATTTGTGTGTTTGAGAAAGTGTTGTTTTAGCATCAGTTTGAGTGCAATTTCAGCCCATATAGATATTGGAATGATATTGCCGCGTGCATGATGGAGAAGGTACGCTTCTCCGTTCATCTAGAAGATATGTACACTCCTACCTCTTGCGTAAACGCTCAGAAGGCCAGAATGACCTTGCCTAGTCAGTCCCCTCCTAGCTCTTTCCTGAACATTCTAGGCCGAATATTCGAGATGACTAGCATAGTCGATATATTGCCGATTCATTCACGGTAGCCAGCTGTTACGCCGGCCTACCGTCGCTTGCTGCTGCCGTCATCACCTTCGCTGTCCTCTCTCTCCAAGTGGTAAAAGTGCCTTAGCCCACCCTTCGTCCCCCGGGGAGGTCCCTCCGTTTGAATCTGGCTTTGCACTCGTCCAACCGTTTCCCCGACTCCACTGTTTTGTGACAGGAGTCTTCCATGTTTGCACCCATCTTTAAAGCTGGTGTCGCTAGTTAATAATTACTGTCCCTTTTCATTATTTGGCACTTTTGGGGAAGCTTTTTTTTTGGGAAGCTTTCGGAATGGTTACGCATAACTGCATTTCTAGGTCTCTAAGCAAAAAAATTAGTACTGCATGGTTTTCTCGAGGGAAACTTGGTAGAAACAAATTTGTGCTCTTTTCTAGATTTCTCTGTACCAATAGTCACAAACAGAGGCCATATTGATGCTGTATATTTTCAAGAGTCAAAGGCCGTGTGGATTATTCTTTAAGCCTTTGCAAGCTGTCTTTGTATGGCCCTAGGCTCGTGAATGGTCCAGGAGCTATTTGAGTTTACGCAGTAACACTGTTCCTGTTGCAAACTCATTTTCAAAGCATTTTATATTGACTTCGGATCTTCCCCAGGGGTCAAACCTTGGACCACTGTTGTTTATTTTGTTTCTAAACGATATAGTTTCACGCATCATGCATTCAAGTGTTCTGTTTTGCTGGTGACATAAACCTTTTTTTTTTAATTTTGAGAGCTATGCTGACTATATTTTTATTGCAAACTGATATTGGTGTGATTTTCGAATGGTGTGCTAAAATCGCTTTGTCACTAAAGCCAGGAAAAACTAAAGTGATTTCTTTATCGAGAAAACTATGTTTTCTTGTTTTCTTACGTGCTTGAGGGCATTGCAACATACTGTTTGTCTCTTCAGCGATGAGAAAGTGGGGAATGAGCACTCGCTTATCGCATTCTTTCACTTCACCATTATCTGCAGTGCATCGTTTCTGCAGCCTCCTACACTCTGGGCTCGAATTTGCTTCACTTATTTGCAACTCACTATCTTTAACCGAAAAAGGATTGAAAATGTGTACGAGAAATTTATTTGAATTATTTACGACTGGTACATTGGTCGAAAATTGTTTTTTAGTTAGCATTCTTTGCTGTCATTTTCTTAGTGAAAGGCTTTCAATGAGGAGGCCTGTCAAACACATTCATTATCTTTATACGGTACTATTAAATCTGAGAGTTCACTCGTTACTGTGGACTTTCATGAGAGCTACCCCCCGAAAAAGTGTGAATTGTCACCATTATCTCGAATGCAGTCTGCTTTTAATAACATAGGCAATTGTGAATTCTATCATTTCCTTGGTTTTGTTAAATTTAAGCCAGCCTCGCTAAAGGGCATTGGATCTAACTGGGAGTTTGTGTAGAAATTACTGGGAGAGTGCAGGCAACCTGGTGTATATTTACCATTTTGATGGCCCGCCCGAGACTGGGGCAAGAAAACTAGAAACCTCAACTGTGGAAGAGACAATAAAAAGGGAGGACAAAGTCTCAAAGAGACTCAATTGAGATTTTGTCCTCCTCCTCTTCTGCCTCTTCCACGGTTGATGTTTCTAATTTTCTCGCCCCAGACTCGGGCATCAAAATTGTTTGTGTACAAGTTGTATCAGCTTCTCAAACCTATATTTGTGTCTTTTCCCATGTTTCTGTACATTTTAGATGGTGTTGCTGTAAACACAAACTAGCAGTGCACCACACAAAAAAGCCTCTGTAGCTGCTTGTGGTCACTGAGGAAAAATAAAGCATTATTGATATTGATATTTATTTTAGCTCGGGCGAGCTTTATGCGGAGCGCAAGTTTGTCTGCTCCTTGCACATGGGCTGCGATGATGTCCGAATGCCGAGCTCTTATTGGCTGATTGAAAAAAATAGTGGATAGACGTCGAGGCATCTACCCACTATCCTTCAGTCAGAGCCAATCAGACCTCGGCGTTGTTCTGATGTCACCGCAACCCTTGCAAAAGAAACAGACGACTTACTCTCTACATTATTATTATTATTATTTGCCCGAGGGAAATTTTACAGTCAGTGCAGGGGAAGTTTACCATGACGATTTTAATCCGATGCTGGGGCAGGAAGAAATTATTTTTAACATTTGAAGACAAAGTAACAGGAACAGGCAGCATCTCTAACTTGGCTAATAATTTTATTCAACCAACCTCCTTATATAGACAGCTACAACTGCCACAAAACCACCAGGCAACCTGTTTTTCAAGGATGTGCAGACAACCCTCACCCACAACACAAAACAAAGTGATACCAGCTACAAAGCACAAGCACCTTTCGATAAAGACAAAAAACTTTCTAGAGGTGATAAAAAATATAGGATCCTTTTGAACTATGACATACACACACCTTTAGTTGGTTTAGGTGTTCAGAAGAAGCTCTCTGTCCAAACCAACCGAATTTATCCCTGTGTGTATTTATGTTGTAGTTTAAAAGTATTGTATATTTTTGTAACCTCTAGCTGCCTAGAAGGTTTTTGTCTATACTGTAAGCTGGTTGTGCCTTGAAGGGGGCATCACTTTGTTTTGTTTTGGTGGTGAGGGTTGCGCGCGACCTTCGAAAACAGGTTGTTCGGTGGTTTTGTGGTGGTTGTAGTTCTGTATACAGGAAGCTTGGTTGAATAAAATTATTAGCAGAGTTAAAGATGCTGTCCGTTCTTGTTACTTTGTCTTCAAATGTTAAAAATGATTTCCTTTTTCTACCCCACTCTCGGGCTAAGATCATCATGGTTATCTACATACTTGGAGTCTGTTAATAAGGAAATTGACAAAAAAGACATTGAGTTGAAGTTGATTATTGCGCGCACGCAGATACGAAGCGTATGCTTTGCATCCCGTGTTTGTGAACCTCTGCCGAGGATTCTATCGAAATTGAGGATGGGTTGTAAGGGTGAAGAGTTTGATCTTTGCCCAGGCTGTGGCGAGGGCCATTGGACTGCCACTGGACCTGGTCTGCTACTTCGCCCTGTTCCTGGTGAAGAAGGGGGATACGGATATCACCAGTAGGTTCTCCCCTTGGACCAGTGCTTGGGCTTTGGCCATCCTCCTTTGTCGACAGTTGCACGTGCCATCACCGCCTGTCTGTCAACCGTGCACTGGAATGTACGCAGATTGTACTCTGTTTGAGTGGAGGTTTAGATTGCTCGCTAACCATGTGTGCGCTAACCATGTGTGTCAAATCCAGTGACGAGATGCAGACGACTGTCCTTGGCGGAGCTAGGGAACTGTCACTTCCCGAGTCTCCCCTTAGGCACTGCGATACAGTAGAACCTGGATACACTCAAAGGGAATCGTCATATATTTATATATATACTGGTAATTTGAAAGTCAAAAATAAGATAACTTAAAAAAAAAACACTGGAACCCCCAAATAAAATTGTTTTATTTTTTGCCAGGCATTTTAATATGGTGTCAGAAAATTTCTCAGTTGATATTTTGCTACAGAGTAACGTATATTTTTAATAAATTCCAAAAACAGCACCGCCCGAAACCGAAAGCAAAGTGCGAGCACGGGGTTAATGGCCGTAATATGGGACTAGGGAGGAGGGTGAAACGTAGAGGAGAGAGTTGCCGGAAATCATGTTGCTACACCCGACCACTTTTCTTTTTCTTTCTTCGTTTTTCTGGTCGTACTAAGTGAAGGAAAAACGCATAAATGTTGAGCACTCTGTGCTCGACGTTTGCACATTTTTTAAGCTCTTATGAATTTGTGTTTGTAAGACAAGCAACGTCTTCTGCCAGGAGAAGGAGCAACGACTCGGTGACGTCTTGGTGCGAATCAGCTTGGTGGTCGGGCATGTCGTACGGAATAAATCCTAATTGTTTCGATCGTTAAACAATTCCCCTTTCGAAGCTAGACAGACTCGCTGGTACCGCAAACGACAGTTGTGGAGTAGAGGAGCCACGCCCGTCGTCCGCTGCCATCGCATAGTCCTCTTGGTCTGGCTGTACAGCCTGTCACTCCCGCGATACGACACCATGTTGAGAAGTATGCAGTACACGTACTGCTGGTACTTTGTGCAGCCAACGTATTTGCGGTTGTATAGAAGCCACAAAAATGGGTTTCATATTTTTTTAATTTTTAATATGGAGTGTGTGCCTTTTGATGACCCACTGCTACATTTGGTACGCGTCTCTGAACGGCACGTGAGCACGGGGAAGAGAGGTAGCGCAACTCAATCCGGACTGTTCTCGATCGGCAGTTTTCAGGAGGAAAAAAAAAACGGATTTTGAGCTTCAAATTGTGTTTTGGGTAGCTGAGCTCCGCTATGTTATGTGCCAAAAAAACAACCTTGGCGAGCATAAATACCCTGTCAGTGTCCTTTTAAGCACCGGTTGAACTACCTGTGCGTCCCTGCTAACATTGAAAATTATGACAAACGAAAGCTTACCGAAATAGGCTGTCCAAGAGCCGCTGAATCGCGTCTACCTCACTGCACCCCGCTTTTACGCGCATGCACGTGGCAGCGACCTTGACAGCACGGGGAATGGAAAGCGGAAATAGTAAAGAACTGTTAAAAAAACTGAAAGAGTGGAATGCATAAAAACTCAACCAAAAATAGCTCCGTCTTGATTCATAGAAAAACGTCAAGCAAGCCACCAACAAAGAGCTGGCATAAAATTGCACACCGAAAGAAAAACTACAAAGCAAAAGCGACAAAAGAGGAAGCTGAACAAAGATAAACGAGGCGTTCAAAGTGCAACTGCGCAACCACTGTAGACATATTCAACCTGCCAGATACTCTTTATTTTTTGTGGGTGGGTTGGAGGGGGGGCGGAAAGGGGGTAGTTGAGTTGCGAGTGTTTTTTTCTCTGCTTCTTTGCGCGCCGCAGGTGGCCAGACTAGTTTATTCTCGGCGTGTGCGAACCGCGCAGCGACTGCAGTGTTGGGGGAAGCCCCCTTCCAGGGTTAATGTTTCCAATGTCCCCGGTCATGAAGTTCGATACAGATGCATAAGACACTTATACTTTTGCGTGGGATTTCCAAGGGGTTGCTTCGGCTGTTCGAAATAGACAATATTTTGAAATACCTGGGTTCCATACAATCGGGCTCAACTGTAAGGTGTAGGGCATGAGATCTCCGGTGCATGGGCATGGCTCTCATTAGGGAGCGTCTCAAAATTCGTTCTTTCCTCTCTCGGTTGCTGTAAATGACTTACAAATTTTTCCAAACTAAAAAGTATTGCAAAAAGATAGATCTCACTGATCCTATCGCGAAACGTTTTACTCGTAAAAAGAGTGTGCGCCTTTATAACGAAATCCGTGGGACCGGCGAAAAATTTCGTAGTATAGGTAACTTGATTGTAGTTGAGTGCGAAAAATCGATTACACAAAACTGAATTTGTGCTATTGCATATGACATATCTGCGCGACATTCGAGGTGTTTTAGGAAATAAAATGGTGCCAAAATGTAATAAATCAATACGAGAAACTAGGTTTTATACATTGTCAATTGACTTCAAAAGGGTGCCTAGGCCTAGCCCGCTAGCGCCTCCAAGCACTTGGGGCGAAAGCTTGCGCCGCAGAATCCAGGCACCTCCGGCTCCATTGCCACTTGTTTTTTCTAAATGAAAATTTTATTGGCGCGTGTTTGTGTACTCGCCATTGCGCAATTTATAGACACCAGACTAGTGGTAGTACCACCACTGGAAAAGTCTAAAGTTGAGACACCAGACTGCAGACTAATTTCCCGCTCTACAAACTTGCACACGACAAACCTAAGAAGACACTGAAATGAAAACAAAAAAGTCAATCAGGAATAAACTCGACGCCGGAAGGTTGCGCGCGAGCGGTGGCCATGGCGGGTTGCCGGCTGCTGCTCTTTCGGTCGTTTTCGTGCACCAAAAGCTTTCCGAAACGAGAAGCGGCGCTATGGCAACGCCAGCTCTGTGACTCGATATGTGCTCGGTAGGGTCGCGAAATTGGATCAGGAATGTGGGTCGAAATTCTCCGATCACGATTATAGGTTGACCTTTAGTTTTTGGCATTTCCGAAAAAAAGAAAGGGTTGACCTATGTTCCAATAAATATAGTAAATGGGACATGTAAGTTTTTTTAGAGGGGCACTGAAGCGCATCTTGAGGCCCTCGTTTTATGGTCATAACCAAATCTACGAACTCTAAGCATCCTAAAAATAACAAGCTGACTTTAATGCGTGGCCGATTCGCATTTTAAAAGGGATAAGAGCTCGCGACACTTACCGTCGGCGCAGAACGACGGATGGCGCTACCGAACCTCGCCGAATAGGGTCGAGCGACGGACGGCCCTTGTCAGCCGCTTGGGAGCAAGGAACTCTCGCGTGGACGTATTCGCACAACCCCGCACTTTCTCTTCATCTGTCCGGCACAGAAGGGGGGCACGTTTTTTTCTGCACGAATTTACCGATTTCGCTCGGATTTTGGCGTTGCGGGTAGAGTCGTGTATCGTTTCCTGGGCCCCATAGCATCGCTCCGAGGCGAAACAATTTGGGACTGCGATGGAGCAAGATTGAAAATCTTTGATGTTGACGAAGACCGGTAGAACAAATGCCGGGCATTAAAAGTTCTCATTTCACGGGATATTGCAGCGAACACCTCGGTTGCTCGACTGCAAAACACGATAATCTCTGCCAGGGGTGCCACGTTAGCGTTACTGGTAATGGGGAGACAGACGAGGCGGCACACCCTGCTGTTTCACACTTTGTGGTCTCGAGAGGAATCCCCCCAAAAAATGAGACAGGGAAAGGTTTCGTAATGCAGAAATGGCAGCACGAGTAGGATGGAGAGGTAAACAACACGCGCATTGAAGCGGATGAATAGGGAGAGTTCCGTCTTGGAATTGGTCCTATTGTGTCATATTTTGCGCGTCCAAGATGGAGTGTGAGCATCGCCATAGTCATCTAACCGTATATCATATTTTACTTAAGGGGAGACACTGGCTAGAGGTCGATCTTTTGAACTACTCAAGTGATCGGAATGAAATTTGCATGGGAGGTTTAGCTTCAGATGTAGGTGTACTGTGCAAACTTTCAGCTGTCTGGGACAAATTTACATACCTGCATAAGGCGATGCGTCACTCATCATTAAGAAATCTATGATATGCAAATGAACCGTTTTGACTGCTTGAATATAAAGTGGGGAATATGGGAACTCGGGCTATCTAGTTTTAATAACTTAAATGTAAAAATTTCGGGAAAAGTTATTACCTCAAAATATGAGATGCACATCTGTTCTATGTCAATATTTGAAAACTTAGTTTTTTATCACTGAGGACTTCAACCTATAATAAAATAAAGTAGATAGCCCGATTCCCCAGTAAATTTCAGTTTCGAAACGTGTCGATTGTGGTATCAGAATACTTTCACCTTCGAACAAAAGATTCCTTCGTGTGAAATTGGCAGCAAAAAGTGGAACTGAGAAAAAAGCATTCAAGCATTGAGCTCCTTTAGTTTGTTACTGGCTCAGAATGCGTCGAAAATATTTTATATCAACGTAAATATTTGGTGTATGGTTATCAAATTTGGTGCAAGGTTGTATATTTAGTTTCTAAAACTGAAAAAGTCAAAACAGAAAAATGAATTTTTTCCAAAAAACTTAAAATTTAGGCCCATGTCCCTCCTTCAATGTAACAAGCAACGCCATAACCCATTTTCACAGCCATAAAAGTAGTGTATGAGCGAGAGGACGTTGCACATTGTAAAGCTTGCAGGTCGGGCGGGCAGTTTAAGAAACCAAGCTTGTCGCACATTTTATTTTTATCCGCGAGAGTGAGCTTCTCCAGCGTTCCTTTCGCTCCTTCAAAGTCCACTGCCCGAACCATAATGTCCGTCGACACATTTTCTGTGTGGCCAGTTGTAGAGCCTTTCAGTTTCAATAAAAAAAAGGTGAGAGCCAAATTTGGGTCAAATACCGTTGCAAAAACAGTTGCTCGGGATCGTCAATGGGGTCACCATTGGGGCTGTGTGTATCGACGCGTTGAAACAGTGGGCGACCATCGGAGGAGATTGCGCGTGTCTGAAGTGGTTGTCTGTCCCGCCGCAGTCCTCAGGCGCCTGGAGAACTTTGAGGCCCCGCACCTGTCCCTGGCGTCTGCAGGTCCTGGCCACTGCGTGGTTGTCCGGAAGAGGTAGGCCCCTCCTTAAGGCTCCCTCCATTTACGCTCGACGACGTCCCGGATGGCCTCGTGGCTGCGGGTCACTTTCTGGCTCCACCCTGGTGAGACTCTCCTTGGCTCGTATTTCTCGCCGGGACTTTTTCGCTAACAGTGAGTCCAAGGACACGCTTGCGCAACATCATTTGCTGTCGCTTGGGAAGCGTTTTTGGTGTACAGGTGGAGCGCAGCGGTCCGAGACGGGTTCCGCACCCTGGCCGAGCGAAGTTCCTAGATTGCCCCGCCCTCTGCTTCGCGCGGCAGCCTTAGAAAAGCACCTCCGGGTGGACCTCCGACTCGACCAAAGTGGAAAATTACCTCGAGATAAACTCGCGTTTAAAAAGAAGAAAGGCTCAACGAGCATCTTTTTCTCGTCGTCTGTACTCGCTCGCGTCCGAGGTTTGATTTTGGTCCGTTTTTGCCTCTGCGATTGGGCGTTTTTGATGGACAAAATGCGCCGAGAAACGGGGGGAGGAGAGGGGAGGCTCCGGTTGGAACGGTTACTGGGAAGGCCTAAAGCCTTTGTCCCCGCTGCGCTCGTCAGATGTGTTGGAATGCGAGAGCCAAGCGCCGGCATTCCGCGTTTTAATGCGTTCGACCAATGGAGACAATCGTTGCAGCCGGAGCTTGGCATTCCGACGTCTTCTCTGGTGTCCTTCTCTTCCTCTCGGAGCATACCGAGCTTGGGGGACGCTTGCATTGTTTTCATTCTGTCCTATATATTGCCAGGGTGATAAGGATATATATCGGCGGTCTCAGACCCTTTTGAGTGTGGGGGCCAGGTAACCCCCGCCGGAAAGGTAGAGGTTCACAAGATTTAAAAGAGATCTTGCCCTCCCTGCTTTTGGAAATTTTGCCAGAGCACCCTTAGATTTGATTAGTTTACATGACTACTTTAGGCCCTGACCCGAGGTGATAACGAGAATTGAGACGCCATCGCCCTATCAGTCTGCTGGCTTTGTTTTCCTAGAACAAGAAAGCAAGCACACCATTGTTCCCGTTGCTCAGTTCACTCCAGGATCAGCCGAGCTCAGTGTGTCGCTAGAAAAACAATTGGCTAATTTAACGGTTCTTGCTTTCCCAACGATTTTTATCGCGACACTCCGAACAAATACTCGTCTTTTAATGGTGGTCTTTTTTTGAAGGCTAGAATCCCGAGGTCGTTGCTTTGTCTTTGGCAGTTGGTCTATCTGGTCGAGAGTTTGCGCAGCCGAGATGCTTTTTTTGACAAAGCGCTCGCAGACTAGCAGCAGAGTCGTTGCACATTACAACGAGCTGAAACGCTAAAAATAAAGGGGGAAAAAAAAAAAGAAACGCAAATGTACACAAACAAGTATAAACTATGTGAATATGTTAAAAGAACGGAGCTAATTTTGGAGCGAAAATGATTGGGCGAGATGAGGTGGTGCATGCCATTCTAGCGCTCGAGGTATGGGAGCCGGGACTCGTAGCCTTGTAGGCCGTGTGTTTGAGACGCCCGACATATCTATTTCACATATATATTTGACGGTGAAACATAGACAGAACGGGAAAGATGACCGGTACGACTACAACAACCCAACTGAACGCAACGGGAGAGCGTGCCCTCCTGTCTTGTTTTCACCGAGCTGTCTGTCGTCGTCTTGGAGAATTTACGTTTCAAACTGGCGCGCAATTTTTTCTCGGTGTTGTACGGTTCAGCATGGTCAAAATGAAATCAATGGGGAATAGGAAATATATTTTATACCTCCATAATTCGTTATATGTAGCACTCGATGATCGTGCGGCGTACGATATTGGCTTTCGTAAGACCTACTGTTCTGTTTGTCTCCGTTTTTAGTGCAGAGAAGCTACAACACAGCCGCGCATCTCTTGACCGAAATAGCCGACGCTCGCTTTAACTATCCGAAAAGGTTCCTCTCCCTCGGATGGTTTGCGCCGCAAAAGAGCGGAATGACGAGGAGGATGACCGTCCTTGTTGGCATAGTGTCGCTTGGTCATGCACTTTGGCGGTAGTTGCACCCCTGCGGTTGCCGGAGTGTCTACCGCATGTATGCTAACGCTTCGATCCCACTTTGAACGGTCCGCAAAAATAGGTTTCTCAGCATATCGCCCTGGGATTTACTACGTGGTGTCCGAAGGTGGTGCATTCATTAATTCCGACTATGAGTGCATGAAACCTCCGCAGCCAAAAAAAAAAAAGAAGAAATATGCTTGAAACCTTCGCAGCATTTTTTGAGGGTTCCTGGGGTTCCATGAGACCAAAAAGTTTGAGAATCCCTGTTCTAGATGAACGGATCTTCTCGATCAGGCACGGGCCAATATACCCTAAGGCTGCTGGGTGGCTTCCCGAGGGGCACCGCAACGCGGTCGTCCAGAGCGTCGCATGTAGAAGCTGGGCCCCACCAGAGTGCATGGAGCGCATCTTGGACCGGTCCGTTGCGCATCCTCCTCTCTCACGCGACGAAAGCAATCCCCAGGTGGTGGCAAGTGACGTCCCAAAAGTCGGTTGTTGCGACCCTGGCGCTCGGTCATAGATGTTCCGGCAAACGGCACGAGCGAACGCGAGGGTCGCCAGAATGTCCCGACACCCGGCCGCCGAAGCTTTTGCAGACCATGGAGCTGGAGAGCGACCCGGAGGAGAATGGGCGTGTGCCACGTCCGCCGCCGCGACGCCGCCAGGGTTATGGCTGGTGACGGAACGACGCATCTGCAACGGGGTCGAGCGTAAATCAAGAGTCTGATGGCCAAAACTCCGACCCGTGCGATTACCGCGTCCGAAAAAGGGTGTTTTGGATGAGGGTGAGCACACCGGTCGGAGTTTCGAGCATTGTACTTTATTTATTTAAAATTCCCTTGGGGGCCAGAGCGCATTAAAGAGGGGAATAGTTACGACGACATTATTTTTAAAAAAAATAACAGAGTGAAGATATAGGAGATACGATGGTTAGAAAAGTTCCTACTTTACGATGTTAGCTAATGCATTCTTCAAATGTCGTTGATCTTCGATGGTTGCCGTTGGTGCGAGAACAGGATTCCACTCTTTGGGTGTATGTGGTACGAAGGACCGAAAGAAAGGGTTACATCCGGAGAATGGAACACCGACCTTACGAGCAGTATCTAATCGACATGAAATGTGTCGAGGAGGAAAAATACGTTTGTCGCCAAGGTACAGGTGGCGATGTAGCTCATGAAAAGGACCGAGACAAAACTTTTTTCAGCGAGATGCTGGAGATTGTATATTGAGACTGAATTTCGCGGTGCTTACGCTGGCTGTTCTGTTATAATTAGAGAGTATAAAAGGAAGGGAGTTAATTTTACCCCTTTCTAGCAAGTAAATTAAGTTTTCTTTTGCCAGGATTCCAAACTGATGCGGCATATTCAATTTTGGGGTGAATTAGCGTTCTATACATTCATAGTTCGAGAGAGGAATACGCCTTTGAAAAGTTACATCTCAAATATACCACCGTTTCTGTTAACGTCGTTAGTTAGGTATGCAGCTTGAATGTTCCGAGTGAGTTTAGTAAAAATGTGAACACTTGTAATGAAGTGTGGCATGTCAGGGTTTTAAGATAGCAAAGTGGGAGTTATTGCGGAAAGGGGCCAGAACTTTCCATTTGTAGAGCAAGTTCCCTGGTGCAGCTACTGGGACAGCGGCTGGGACCGGGCGCTGCTGGACGACCGGGTGGCCCTGAACCTGGGCTACGTGCAGGCCCTGAGCGACCTGGACCGGGGCTGGGTGCTGGCCCCCAAGGAGACCCAGAGGCAGCTGGCAGCCCTGCAGGCCAAGGGCTCCAAGAGGGAGGTGGGTGGCCACGGCTCTCTCTGGGTGAACAGAGGGAGGCGCTGTTTCCAAGTCTGCCCGGGCTTTTCAGCCTCTGCGTCAAGCAAACCCGTTGCATCGCTGCGCCGCCTTTTTTTGGGTTATTGCCTAACCGTAACCTCAACAAATTACTTTCTGAAAGTGATTTATCTGAGACCGGTTTTAAAGCCCGAGCATTGTGAGATGTCGCAATGAAAGCGCGGTGTCTTGGCAAGACGGGACTGGAGCCACTCGCTTCGCTGGGTAGTGCGGCACCTTACCTCCGCACCGTCGGACTTTGTTTAGTAGCTTGGTACGTGTGTACGTTCAAACGCCGATATAATCTACGTATGCTAGAAAGAGGACCATTTCACGAAATAGAACGCAAGTCTCGGACAATCTTCAATCTGTTCCGCGCGTTTTTATAACCGCTACGGGGCAAAATCCCGTTCAATGAATATCCCCTTTTAACGAACAATGTGCCCGTCCCCACGAGACGGAATTGACTATTGTTACGAGACATTCTTTTTCCTGATTGGAAAGAATGTTTTGTTGTCTTTGGTTTTATGCGTAGCTCGGTGCATAACCCTCGACGAATTCTTGGACGCCCGGTTCTGGAAGGGATACCCTTAGGTAGAAGCTGCCTCTGGCAAGAAGGGGGAATCGTGCCATGGCGGGGTTGGAGCCGAGGCCTCCAGATCCTTCGGGTGTGGGCGTCCTACTGGGACGTGTCGTTGTGATCTCTAACCTCGGGTGAAGATCTCCGAGGCCCGAATGGACAGAAGGTGAACGACGAAGTGACGACCTCTTGCCCTTGTGATGCTGCCTGGGGGTTGTCGGCAAAAGCTCTCGCACGTTCGCATGTCCGCTCGGAGAGTAGTGGCATTGCCGAGCGGTTGAACCTTTCGGAAAATCGGATTTGCGAAAAGATACGCATTTCTTTTCCATCCCCCTTGGCGCCACCCCACATCTTTGCTGCGTTGTTATGCCTACATTCTGAACGCTTGGTGATGACACTAAAAAAAAAGAAAGCCGTTTACAACTCCCTGTAATGCCGAATTAGAGCGCAGCTCTTGAGGAGGAGGAGGGGGAGGTACAGAGAGGAGGCTATGCCCCTCCTCCTCTCCTGCTTGCCTTCCATTTAGGGGAAATTTTTCCGCTAGATTTAGTGGGGGAATTTTCCCGCTAAATTTAGTGGGGAAAATTTTGCGCTAAATTTAGCGGGAAAATTTACCCCTAATGCACTGCGCAATTACACCGACGGTGACGCCGCTCAAGCCGGAAATGGGCGCCTAAGAGCTGCGTTCTAAAATGAAAGATGTTTACAATTCCCTGTATTGCCGAACCAGAGTGCAACTCTTGAGGAGGAGGATGGGAGGGTATGCCCCTCCTCTTCTCCTTTTCCCCTCCCCTTGGATCTTCCTCCTCTTCTCATTCTTCACCCTTCCCCCTCCCTCCCTCGTGGCGTCACTTGTGAAGGCCGTGACCTTCACTGTGGAGGTCATCATGTTCATCGTGACCTTCGTGACGTCACTCGTGACGCTTGTGACATCACGTGTGACATCATTATGGGAAACGTAACATAATGCAACGTGTAAGGTACGCCGACGCCGCTCAAGCCGGAAATGGGTGCCTAAGAGCTGCGCTCTAAAAATGAAAGATTTTTACAATTCCCTGTATTGCCGAACCAGAGTGCAGCTCTTGAGGAGGAGGATGGGAGGGTATGCCCTTCCTCTTATCCTTTTCCCCTCCCCTTGGATCTTCCTCTCCTCTCATTCGCCACCCTTGCCCCTCCCTCGTGACGTCACTTGTGAAGGCCGTGACCTTCACTGTGGAGGTCGTGATGTTCATCGTGACCTTCATCAGTGACCTTCGTGACGTCACTCGTGACTCTTGTGACATCACGTGGGACATCATTATGGGAAACGTAACATAATGCAACGTGTAAGGTACGCCGACGCCGCTGAAGCCGGAAATGGGTGCCTAAGAGCTGCGCTCTAAAAATGAAAGATTTTTACAATTCCCTGTATTGCCGAACCAGAGTGCAGCTCTTGAGGAGGAGGGTGGGAGGGTATGCCCTTCCTCTTATCCTTTTCCCCTCCCCTTGGATCTTCCTCCTCCTCTCATTCGCCACCCTTGCCCCTCCCTCGTGACGTCACTTGTGAAGGCCGTGACCTTCACTGTGGAGGTCGTGATGTTCATCGTGACCTTCATCAGTGACCTTCGTGACGTCACTCGTGACTCTTGTGACATCACGTGTGACATCATTATGGGAAACGTAACATAATGCAACGTGTAAGGTACGCCGACGCCGCTCAAGCCGGAAATGGGTGCCTAAGAGCTGCGCTCTAAAAATGAAAGATTTTTACAATTCCCTGTATTGCCGAACCAGAGTGCAGCTCTTGAGGAGGAGGATGGGAGGGTATGCCCTTCCTCTTATCCTTTTCCCCTCCCCTTGGATCTTCCTCCTCTTCTCATTCTTCACCCTTGCCCCTCCCTCCCTCGTGGCGTCACTTGTGAAGGCCGTGACCTTCACTGTGGAGGTCATCATGTTCATCGTGACCTTCATCAGTGACCTTCGTGACGTCACCCGTGACTCTTGTGACATCACGTGTGACATCAGTATGGGAAACGTAACATAATGCAACGTGTAAGGTACGCCGACGCCGCTCAAGCCGGAAATGGGTGCCTAAGAGCTGCGCTCTAAAAATGAAAGATTTTTACAATTCCCTGTATTGCCGAACCAGAGTGCAGCTCTTGAGGAGGAGGATGGGAGGGTATGCCCTTCCTCTTATCCTTTTCCCCTCCCCTTGGATCTTCCTCCTCCTCTCATTCGCCACCCTTGCCCCTCCCTCGTGACGTCACTTGTGAAGGCCGTGACCTTCACTGTGGAGGTCGTGATGTTCATCGTGACCTTCGTGACGTCACTCGTGACTCTTGTGACATCACGTGGGACATCATTATGGGAAACGTAACATAATGCAACGTGTAAGGTACGCCGATGTCGCTCAAGAAGGAAATGGGTGCCCAAGAGCAGTGCTTTAAAAAACAAGATCCGCCGTAGGTGAATATTACCGTGATGATTTATGCGATGTATGGAGCTGTATAAAAAGTAAGCTTATAAATGCACTAGCATTTATTTTGGTAGCCCTCGCAGGAAAATCGGGAATAGTAACGCGAAACAAATACGAACCTTCGATAAATTGAAGCAAAATTCCGCTCTCCAAGGGGGAACCCACAAGCCCAAGATTGTGAGCCCAACACTTGACCACTGTGCCAAGGAGGTCATGGAAATTAGGAAAACCCTTTACGAGCAATTTCATGCAACGCACAAAGCTGAAAATTGAGGCAGGTCCTGCAGATGCGGCTAACTACTCCTTGCCAACCTAAGAATGAATTTGGAGCTGCATTGAGGCTGATGACACGAAGAAGAGAAGCTCAAAGGGGTTCTCTGGCTGACAAAAAGCAGTTTCCGTACGGGTCTTTGTAGGGCGTCCCAGGAAAAGCACTAGGAAACGCTGCTTTCAAGCTGGTCATAAATCATCTTTGAGCCACATTTCAACGGACAGCCTCGATGTACCCAAGTTTACAAAAAGAAAAGACTGTTGGGGATATTCGCATTCTTTCAGCCCGTCTTAATATGTCCTGCCCCAGCTTAGAGGTTAGTAGGATTGGCAGTGGTAGCGAGCTTTCGACAGGTTCATTGTATTATCACTTTCGTCCACTTTTGGACAGGTATCCTTAAGGGACTAAGGAAATTAGCTGTGTCCACAACTTCTTTTACAGAAACGCACAAAATTGTTTGGGCACGTCGAAGCAACCCAATGCGGCAAATGCGTCCAAAGGCCAAGTTGCAAAAATACGCGTAAGAAACGGCAACCCTCCGAGCAACGTAAACCTAGACACTAATTGTACAAAAGGACGCGCAAGGTCGACATCTGCAGTGTCCAAGGATTGAAACAAATTACCGCGGCGCTCCTGGGACGAGCTTCGTACGAATGTGGCAAAAATGCGGTGAAGCGCACGTAGATGACATTGTGTATAACAAAGTGCTCTGAGAACGTACCGGAGCTTAGTTACGAGGAAAATGTTACGGGCTGCATCTCTTCCAAATATGGACATATCACATTTGTTGACAAGGTTGGTGGGACATATGACTTGTCTTGCCACATTGCCCCGTTAGCACGGAGGTACTCGGACGCAGTACTCGACCATGAAATGCGGACCAACTGTCTGGGTGTCCTAGCCCTGGACCCTAGGCACGAGCCTCTGCTCTCGTTGATGGCTGCTCCAGTTGCGGCACGAAACCTTTCCCTCGTGCCTAAAGCTTGCTGTACACGACGTTTGTCTGCGCATATATAAGTGGCAGCTTATATCCACAAATTTTTATGCTGTCCAAAACACTTAAAGGTTCCAAGTCAATTCCAAATAAGAGAGGTGATGAAGGACAACCCTGTTTTACTGAAACCTCAAGATTCATTGCTGATGAAAGAGTGCCATTCACAGTCAGTCTTTGTTGAGGAGTCTTGGTAGCAAAGACCCAATGTTTACGTGCTGGAGGAGTTAGAAAGGAAGTGGCTTACCCGGTGGAAGACTTTGACCAAGTTGGAGCGTTTCTGCCCGAGCAACGGGCATGTTTGCTGGTATGCTGCTGCCCATGGCTCCGTGCATCTTTTAAACGGTAATCGGCTAACTGTTATCCACTGGTCAGAATATTAGCAGAAATCTTGGAGTCCACATTACAAATTGTAATGGAACTGCAACTTTTTTCAGTTTGCTGGGCCTTTGGACTTTGGTATCAGAACTGTGTGGATCTGCAAGAACGACGGAGGTAGGGCCTGGACTTGGGGTGCCTTGGAAAAATATGGTGTGCAGCACGGGGCATAGCGGTTCACTTCTTACGAGACTCCGCCCGAACCTAAAGTTATTTTAGACCGCCAACAGCGCGCTCAAGTTTCTCTAGCTTTATTTCCCCTTGGAGCGAGGCACAGTGAACATCACTT